TTAAAGCCGCTGTTTCCTTGCTGATTTTCTGTCTGGAAGATCTATCCATTAATGTCAATGGGGTGTTAAAATTTTGTACTATGACTGTGTTGCTGTCAAGCTCTCTTATGTCCATCAAGATTTGCTTTATATATTTAGGTACTTCTATGTTGGGTGCATAAATGTTTACAAGAGTTATATCCTCTTGGTGAATTGGCCCCTTTATTGTTATGTAATGTCCTTCTTTGTCTCTTATTATAGCCTTTGTTTTAAAGTCTATTTTGTCTGGTATAAGTATTGCTACCCCAGCTTTTTTTTTTTTTTCCACTTGCATGAAATATCTTTTCTATTCCTTTACTTTCAGTCTGTGTGTCTTTTCTTCTGAGGTGGGTCTCTTGTAGATAGCATATTTATTAGTCTTCTTTTCTTATCCATTCGGCTACCCTGTCTTTTGATTGGAACATTTAATCCATTTACACTTAAAGTGATTATTGATAGGTATGTATTTATTGCCTTTTTATTCTTTACAACCCTGCTCCTCTTGTCTTTCTTTTTTCTTCTTAAAAAAGTCCCTTTAACATTTCTTATAATAATGGTTTGGTGGTAATGAACTCCTTTAGCTCTTTCTTGTGTAGGAAGCTCTTTATTTTTCCTTCAATTTTAAATTACATCCTTGCTGGGTAAAGTAGTCTTTTTTTATTGTTGAGAGTATTACAGATGTTCCCCCATTTCCTCCCCCTTACCCCCCTCCACTCATCTCCCACCTAACCCCAGGCCCCCACCTGTCCATTGTCTGTGTCCATGGGCTGTTCATATATGCTTATAAGTTCTTTGGTTAATCTCTCCAGCCCTCCTTCTCACCTTCCCTCTGAGATCTGTAGGTCTGTTCCATGCTTCCATGTGTGGTCCTATCTTGTTCATCAGTCTATTCTGTTCCTTAGATTTCATATATGAGTGAGATCATGTGGTACTTGTCTTTCTCTGACTGGCTTATTTCACTTAGCATAACACTCTCTAGGTCCATCCATGCTGTCCCAAAGGATAAGAGATCCTTCTTTTTTACAGCTGCATAGTATTCCATGGTGTAAATATCCCACAGCCTTTTTTATCCACTCATTTACTGATGGGCACTTGGGCTGTTTCCAGATCTTAGCTGTTGTAAATAGTGCTGTTATGAACATAGGGGCACATACATTTTTTCTGATTGGTGTTTTGGGATTCTTAGGTTATGTTCCTAGAAATGGGATCACTGGATCAAATTGCAGTTCCATTTTTAATTTTTTGAGGTACCTCCGTAATGTTTTCCATAGTGGTTGCACAAGTCTGCATTCTCACAGCAGTGTACCAGGGTTCCCCTTTCTCCACATCCTCACCAGCACTTGTCATTTGTTGACTTATTGATAGTAGCCATTCTGACAGGTGTGAAGTGATACCTCATTGTGGTTTTAATTTGCATCTCTCTGATGATTAGTGACTTTGAACATTTTTCATATGTTTCCTTGTCATCTATATGTCCTCTTTGGAGAAGAGTCAATTCAGGTCCTGTGTAAAGTAGTTTTAGTTGTAGGTCCTTGATTTTCATCACTTGGAATGTTTCAGGCGAAGCCCTTCTGTCCTGAAATATTTCTGTTGAGAAATCAGCTGACAGTCTTATGGGAGCTCCCTTGTAACTAATGTTTTCTGTTGTTGCTTTTAAGATTCTCTCTTTGTCTTTAACATTTGGCATTTTAATTCTGATGTGTCTTGGCATGGACCTCTGGGTTCATCTTGTATGGGACTCTCTGCACTATTTGGACATGTGTGTCTTTTTCCTTCACAAGGTTAGGAAAGTTTTCTGTCATTATTTCTTTAAATAGGTTCTCAATTCCTTGCTCTTTCTCTTCTCCTTCTGGTACCCCCTATAATGCAGATATTAATATCCTTGATGTCCCAGAGACCCCTTATTATTTTCATTTTTAAAAAATTCTCTTTTCTTTTGGCTGCTCTGATTGGGTGTTTTGTGCTACCTTATCTTCCAAATTGCTAATTCAGTCCTTTGCTTCATTTAGTCTGGTGTTGGTTCGTTCTGGTGTATTCTTCATTTTTGACTGGTTCTTTTTTACAGTTTCTGTGTCCTATTTTATGCTTACTATCTATTTAAGGTTTCACTGAGTTCCTCCATTCTTCACCTAAGTTTATTGAGCATCCTTATAACCATTGTTTTGAACTCTGTATCTTGTAGATTGCTTGCCTCCATTTAATTTAGTTATTTTTCTGGGAACTTCTCCTGTTATTTTCTTTGGGGCATGTTCCTTTGCCTTCTACTTTTGGCTACCTCTCTGTACTTGTTTCTGTGTATTAGATAGATCTCCTGTGTCTCCAAATTTTGGTATAGTGGCTTCATTTAGTAGGTATTCTGTGGGGCTCAGCGCAGTCTCCCTGATCACTCAAGCAGGGTGTTCCAGGAATGTCCTTTGTGTGTGTTAAGAGAGCCCTCCTATTGTAGCTGAATCTCTTTTTAAAAGAATTTTTATTGATTTTTAGAGAGAGAGGAAGGGAGAGGAGAGGGAGAAACATTAATGTGAGAGCAATGATCAGCTGCCTCCTTCATGCTCTCCTACGGGAGATTAAGCCCCCAATCTAGGCATGTGCCCTGACTAGGAATTGAACTGACAACCTTTCAGTGCATGGGATGATGCCCAACCAACTGAGCCATACCAGCCAGTGCTGTAGTTGAGCCTTGATTGCTGTTGGCCCATCCATGGATGGGATCAACCCTCAGGCTGGCTGACTGTAACAATTGACTCTGACCTCAGTGTATGAGCTGCTGGGCAGGGGCTAACCCCATGAAGTGGAATTGGCTGCAGCAGGGTCTGGTGTCTGCCAAGATCTCCCTTTGGATGTGCCACTTGTGGAACTAATTAGGTTGTGCTCTGTTGTGGTCTAAAGGCTGCCACTAGTTTTATTGCTTCTGGGGCCTCTTGGGAGAGACTCTGGTGCAGGTGAATATAAGATGCTGCCTGTGACTGGCCCTGGACTACCTGTTACGAGCTACAAGCAATCCACATTTTGTGGCTGCCTCTGCTGGACATGGGTACATGTGGGAGGAGCCAAGGTATATACCAAGGCCAGTGTCTACCAATACCAAGCCCATGGGCAGGTCAGCAGAAGTCTCAAGTCATCCCAAGATCTGCCTTTGCCTACTGGCTACCTGTTAAGCCCAATCACTAAAACAGTCTCTGGTGGTATGAAAGTTGCATGAGGTAGGTTCTCAGTGAGTCACCAGGTAGGGGCATGTGGTATTCACCAGGTTGATACATATTCAGGCATGGAGCCAGTGCTGGGTCTGATGCTACTCGGCAAATGTTTCATGGCACACCAAGGTCAGCTGCCACCTGCTTGGGGCCTGCAGACCTTTGTGGTGGGGTGGGGTGTGAGGGAGTTATCACTGTGAGGCCAGCAGAGTTTATTGGGCTAAAATAGACCAAGATTTGGCCATATGGAGGGAGAGCTTTGTGCAGGAATGGTGGCACCAGTCAGGCATGTGAGGGGGGAAAAGGCCCTCACCCCAGAGCCATAGAACTCAGTCTCTGACACCTCCTGAGTCTGTCTATACCTTTTAAAGATCCCTCCAAAAAATCTACACTGCCAACCCAGGCTGGCTGCAAGCAGCAGACTCTTTTTCAGGGTGCTAGCTTGGCAGAGCAGGGATACAGGTATTTGGGAGGGTAGGACTAGTGCATTCTCTCAGGCTGATGCCCTGTGGAGGGGAATGCTCAACCCAGGAAATATGGCATCTGGGGAAGTGGTGGGAGAGGTACTCAGCATGAGGACCTTGGTGGCTGTCCCTTTAGCTCTTTCCCTGAAGCCATACAGCTCAGTCTCTCCCTGTATGACTCTGAGCCACCTTTCCTCCAGGGGAGCCCAGGGTGAGTGGATGCAAATGAGATTTTGTGCACTGACTTTTTAAGAGGACTCCTGGGTTTCTGGCAGACTCCCTTCTTTCCCTGGTAGATGGAATCTCTGCTGATTTTCACAGCCAGATGGTAGGTGGGTTTCTCTTCCTGGCTCTGGTGCTCCAGGTTGGGTAGCCCGTGTGGGGTTGAGACCCCTCACTCCTAAGAGTGGACCTTTGCAGGTGAAATATCTCTCCAGATTCTCAACTGCCACACGTGGGTGTAGAACCAGTCCTTTTTGTGTGTCAGCCCTTCCTACCAGTCTCGATGTGGCTTCTTCTGTAAATCCTTAGTTATAAGACTTCTGTTCAGCTGGTCTTCAGTTGGTTATTCAGGTTGATTGTCCTATAGTTTAGTTGTAATTCTGGGTTGGCCTTAGGAGGAGATGAGTATAACTTCCACCTACTCCATCACTGTAGTGGATCTTGTTTTTTAAAATTAAAATACTAACATTGAATCATCTCTCTGTTTAGCCAGTATGTGCTTTGTGCAAAAAATAAATGTGTATATTCAACTTGTTAAAATATCTGTTTTTCACATCATACAGATTCAGGGATGTCTTGTCCCATCATGTCTGCTATTTAGTACTGTGCCTAGCTCATGATAGGTGCTCAATAAATATTTGTACAATTAATATATAATATACTCTTGAAAGTGTACAAAATTCTGCTATTTGTGATCATTGGTAACACAAACTAATATAGATTTAAACAATTTTATTTACAGCATAACTAAGATAACTACATGTTTGTTTGTTTTTAATTTGGCATTCTTGAGCTAAATCCTCAGAAGAGAATGAACTTAAAGGTTGTAGATATGGTCCATGACAGAATTATTTTATAATCTTGGTTTCCCTAGCACTGTTCCATACAAACTGACTTATTAGCTCAAGGGGGCTAAAGAGAATTACTCAGCTACACAAATCATGTTTCCTTTACAGTAGGTAATCACAATGCTCTCAGTGTCCTTTGGACATGAAAAATGAAATGTGGGAGTATGGAAGCCAGGCCAGGCAGGGCCAGAGGGAAACCATAGCTTCCTCATCTCCATTTTGCTCTTCACGGCAGGAAAGGGTCCAGGTGAGGATCTCAGCCACCTCTTCCCTGGGCCACATGCTATATCGAGTCAACAAATTCAAGCCTGGATCCACCCTCCGAAAAGAGATCTACACTTTTTTAGTCCCTCTGCTGCTTAGCTTTCAGGACAACAACACCGAGGTGGTCAAGGTACTGGTGACCTCTGTCCTGCCCGTCTCAGCCTGATTCAGCCCCTTTCTGCTAGAGCATAGCCCTTCCCTTTAGTTCTCTTTCATGAGCCCAATCTTGGGTCTGCATTCACTATACACCTCTTTGGTATCATCCTCTGGGCTGGATCTGAGCACTTTTACTTCTCTTGGGTGCCATCAGCCTTACCCAGATACAGTTCTGCTCCCTGAAGTTATTTATGTCCTTTGACATGAACAAGGCCTCATGTTTCACCTGAACCCAGCTACTAACCCCCAATCAAACCCCTTGGGAGCTAGCTTCATGGTCTTCCACTTGGCCTCTGGCCTGGCTCTGCAGAGTTATAGGAGCAAGGTTTTGAGAATTTCCTTGTCTCCATCCCATAGGCCTGTGGAGGGGCCCTGACTGAGTGGACTAATGTGATTGGCTGGTCATCATTCACACAGACGTTTCGGCATACTACCCTCAGTGATCACATCCAGGTGTTGGAAGAAACATGCAAGTACCTGGTGAGTGAGAGTCTCTGAGGAAGACAGGTCGCAATATTCATGCTAGGGACTTGATGGCAAGCTAGGTGGGTAAAGAGGAGCGGGCTAGCAGAAGATGCATTCTTCACTTTCCTGATTCTCATTCTTATCAGCAAACTCTGAGAACCCACATGGTAATAGATGGCAATGGGATAGAGGCCTTCTGGCTAAAGGTGGTAAGAAGAGATACAGGAAGGAGTCCTCGGGGCTTTAGATCAACAGTCATGGTGTTAAGGGTCTGTGGCTTCTTGTGAAGTCAAGAAAAGGCCAGAGAGCAGCAATTCTTGTAGAAGAGTAAACATTTAAGGGCTACACAAGTAGGTTAGGAACTAACATGAGTAATTCTAATGTTTTGAATTTGAATGCCTTACATAGATAGGGCATTTTACAGATTACACTTTTACATCCGTTATTCCATAGTTATTAAGGTAGGCTGGGCAGGTTTTATTTCAACACTACAGATGAAAAAATTGAGGCCAGTGTCAGGGCCAGTATTCAAACCTGGTCTCCTGGCTCCACATCAGTTGTTTTCTCCCTTACCATGTTGGTACCAAGGTACAAAATTCTCTCTATGAACTTCCTACTGATAATGCACTTTTGCTGGGGGTGGGGGTGTCTGAGTGTACAAGTTCAAATAGTTTAAGCTGACTGTAGACCAAAAATGATGTTGCTTGTGGTCAGGGTAAGAGGGCCATGACTGAAAAAAGGTCTTTATAGTAGAGTTCCCAACAGTCCCCCTCTCCTAGTCAGATCCACTCCTCTTTGACTTCACAGGTGAGCACATGCAAAAGACACATAGTGGGGGAGTTACTGTTCCAGAGCTTTGGCTTCCTGAAGAGCAGTCAGTCCTTCCTACGGACAGCTGCAGTCCATTTCATAGGTAAGGTGATGCCTTCCCTCCTGTCAATTCCTCCCTGCACTCTAGCAGGAAAGCCTTCCTTGACTTTTTGCTAATGGGCTAAACCAGAACCATGGTATGATGATGCTGGTCATATCCTTTCCTAGATCTGACTTGATTAGAGACATTGTCCTGTGACCAGACCTCAAATTTTGTGTTAGAAAGGCCTGGGGAAGAGGAGCCTTTGTCCTGGCTCTGTGCGTATCTACCCACGTTGTCTGCATGCTGCTTTGTGAGGAAGAGAACTGTATGCATTTGGAAGGGAGAAAAATATTGCTTCAACTGAAACCCCATGGATTTTCCAAAATATTTTTGTTTTAAATGACGATAACAGTATGTGTTAATATTAGAAAGAATAAAATATTCAAATTGGCTGAAAGAATACAATAATTAATGCCAGAACTTCCATCATTTGAATTTAACAGGAATCCTACTAACATACTAGAATTTTTTTTTTAAATATGCTACACGCACACACGTGCGCACACATGCACACATATATAACACTTTAAAAAAAATGTCTTTATTGATTTCAGAGAGAGGAAGGGAGAGGGAGAAAGAGATAGAAACATCGATGAGAGAGGGTCTCATTGATCGGCTGCCTCCTGCCCCTTACTGGGGGTCAAGCCTGCAACCCGGGCATGTGCCCTGACTGGGAATCGACCTGGGACCTTTTGGTGCATGGGACAATGCTCAACCAACTGAGCCACTCCAGCCAGGCTATAACACTTTTAAAAAATAAACTTTGGTACACAGCTGTATCACAAATACATGCATTACATACTCATCAACATTATTTTTAATGAGTACGTAATATTAATTCTGTTGTATAGATGGATTTAAGACACCAGTCCTTATTTTTGAATATTGAGACTGTGTCATCTTTTGTTTTTATAGGCAGGGACATAGTGGTTAAACTTCTTCATGTTATCATGATTATTTTGTTAAGATAAATTTCTTAAAAGTAGAATTGCTGGACCCAAGGGGTATGCAAAATTTTAAAGATTTTGGTGCTCATTGCCAATAAAAAGTTAGAATCATTTTCTTTTGTCACCAGTATGTAAGTGAGTATTCATTTCTCCAGACATTTGTCAACCTGGGTAATATGTTTTTAAAATCATTACCAATTTGATAGGTGAAAAAGAGAAGCTTGTTGTTTTGGTTAATTTTTTTTTTTTTTATCTGCAGTGAGTTTAAATATTTTATCCTATGTTTATTGGTAATGTGTATTTTATTTTCACAAATTAATTGCCTTTTGTCCTCTGTCCATCTTTCTATTGGTGTAGGGACCCCATGAATTTTAACATCCTTGGCTCATGCTCCACTTGTCACCTGCTGGCAATATTTTCCTGGGTCACAGCTGCTCTGAGGGTTGTTCTCACTAGGACACTGACATGTAGGCAGCAAGGCATCTTACATATATTCCTTGCTAAAACTGGTTTACAAATTTCCTTGTTCACTACTGAGGCTGGGGAAAGGGATGCCCCAAAGGTCGAGGGATTCTGGGAACTTTACGTCTGTCCTGTCTTTAGGATTAATAGTGGAGAAGATAAACCTGCATTACATACACCAGGATGACGTGCAGCTGTTGCAGAATGGTGAGTCGGGGCCTCATCCCTGGGTTCCGGGTGACACGGGGTGGGGCAGGATAGACAGGAGGAAGGGGAAATTCCTTAACAACATGTCACATTATTTTAAATAAAGTTTATCCTTACCAATATAAATGTTATATATAAAAGTTTCAGTGAAGAGAAGAGGAATGCAACATTATTTATCATCATACCAGTTAGATAAAAGCACTGCTAACAAAACCTTCCAGTCGCTGCGCCTTTGTCCTGTGCCCTGGGCTGACACTGCAGTGGTGTGTCAAAGAACTTGCAGTTTTGTGGTCACTTTTACTGCCTTAAAATATTTTAAAATTAATTTATATTTACAGAACAAATACATGAATATAGTCTCTTTGAAAAAAAAAAAGAAACATTATTGATAAAGGTAGAAAGCTCTATTAACACCCAAGTCTTGCTCTTTCCCCCTCTCCCTCTGCCTGTTGCTATATAGTCTGTATTCTTTTGTGTACACATAGAATAGATATATTTTAGATGTGATATGTTATATATAATATGTGTGATATATAAGCTATTATATATGTATTACACATATAAACTGTTTCTGCAACTTGCTTCCCCCACACACAGTATGTTGGTACATACAGATCTGCATTCCTATACCACTCGGTAGATTAATATTTAAGTTGTTTCCAATTTTTTGCTATTCAAACAGCGCTACCATGAACATTCTTATATATGGCTCCTATATACAGGTGTAAGTGTTACTCCAGACCAGACACCAAAAAGTAGACTTTTATCATGCACGTTGAACAGAGGTTAAAGTACAACATTTTAACCTTTCCTCGTATGTTGACATAACTTTCAATCATCACCACCGCTCCCAATTTAAAGGCTTTTGTTAGCCAATATTTTAGTTCCTTTTTTTAACCCATAACTTAGATGCTATGATTCTTATTGTTATTTTATGCAAACTGTTAAATTTACAGAGTGTTACATGCCCATCATTCCTTTTTGTATGTCTGACCATCCCTCAGAGGTCATTCTTCTCTATCCTTTTAGAAGTACACCTGTTAGAAGTTTCTTTAGTGCTGATATCTTTTTTTAATTCTCACCCGAGAATATGTTTATTGATTTGAGAGAGAGAGACACTGGTGTGAAAGAGAAATATTGACCTGTTGCCTACTGTACATGCCCCAACAAGGGAGGGAAACTGCAGCAGCCTCAGTGTAGGGACCACGCTCCAACCAGCCCAGCCACCCGGCCAAGGCTAGTGCTGGTATCTTAGTAATATTCCCTCTAGGTTTTTGTTTTGTTTGTAAGAATTTCTTCTTACCCTCATTCTTGCAAGATAGCTTTACTAGTGACATAATTCTAGACCAACAATTATTTTCTCTCAGCACTTTGAAGACATCATACTATTATTTTCCTGCTTTCTTTGTTGCTCATTAGAAGCCTGCTGTTCTAGTTTTTCTTCCTTTGTAGGTAATTTGCCCTTTTCCTCTGTCTGTCACAAGATTTTTATTTTTAGTGTTCTTTAAAAGTATAGAGAATAGTGTAATAAACCCCCAGGGACCCACACCCCAATTTCAACAAGTAGCAACCCACGGCACCTTGCTTTTTCTATTTACCTGCCAGAAATATTCTGGTCTTCGCATGATTTCTATAAATATTTTAGTACATATTTCTAAATGATACTCTTTTTAAAAGTAAAACATTTAAGAAATTATAATGAGCACGTTATCCAGTAGAATGCAAATAATGCATGAGTTTTTAAGATAAAAGAGGTTCCAAGAATTTGTAGAACATATAGGACCTGACATAACTCGCCCAGACGCTGAGGCCATCAATGTATTCTCTTCTGCCTCTGAAGTTAAGGCACTTCAGATACGTGTTCGCGTGACCTAACATACAGTCCTAATTTCAAAGGCCAAATCCTTTGTTCACGGTCACAGAAGAGAATTACTGGAAGGACCAGAAGTAGAATTTCCAATTCAGGGATCTTTCTACTAACCCATGCTCCATTATTCTTGTTTTTAAAGNGTAGAACATATAGGACCTGACATAACTCGCCCAGACGCTGAGGCCATCAATGTATTCTCTTCTGCCTCTGAAGTTAAGGCACTTCAGATACGTGTTCGCGTGACCTAACATACAGTCCTAATTTCAAAGGCCAAATCCTTTGTTCACGGTCACAGAAGAGAATTACTGGAAGGACCAGAAGTAGAATTTCCAATTCAGGGATCTTTCTACTAACCCATGCTCCATTATTCTTTTTTTTAAAGATTTTTTAAAAAATTTACCTTTATTGTTGAAAGTATTACAGATGTCCCCCTTTTCCCCCATTAACCCCTTCTACCCTGCACCCACTCCCACCCCAGGCCTTCACAAGTCTATTGTCTGTGTCCATGGGTTATGCATATATGCATATAAATTCTTTGGTTAATCTCTCCCCACCTACCCCCACCAGATTTTTAAATTAATTTTTTTACAGAAAGAGGAAGGGGGAGGGAGAGAGATACAGCCATGTGAGAGTGACACATCGATCGGCTGCCTCCTGCATGCTCCCTGCTGGGGACCAAGCCCACAACCCACACATGTGCCCTGACCAGGAATCAAACTGGCAAACTTTTGGTGCATGGAAAGATGCTAAGCCTACTGAGCCACACTGGCCAGTGCTCCATTACTCTTTAGTCTTACCAAAGCCTTAAAAAAGAGGTAGGGAATGGGAGCTGAGAGTGTGAAGAATTCCCAATGTCTATTAGAAGAGAAATTTTACCTCACCTTTCAAAACCCTTAGTTCCCTTCAATCCCTGAAGAGCCACACTTGTGTATTACATCGGATGTACTCCTGTTGACTCCCTGCCATTGCTCTCTATTAATTAAATGAGTTTGTTAATTATTGAAACGCACTGTATACTATGTACTCTTCCTAGCACTGGGATACTGCAGTGAACAAAACTGATCATCTTACCCTCATGCAGCTTACATTCTTGTGGGGGGGAGGGAGGAATAATTCCTCCACAAGTCCATAGACATTAGATAAGCACTGTGAAGAGCAATGCCTCCATAAGGCAAGGGGGTAAGAAGGACCAGAGGGGGCCGGGTGCCCCTCCATGTGGGGAGTTTAAAGAAATGAGGGAGTAAACCATATGCTTATCTGAGGGAGAAGCACTTGGCATGTTAAAGGAAGAACAAAGTCCATGGGACTGGCATGGATCGAGCAAAAGGAAGGGCCGGAGGCGATGAGATCAGCCAACAGCAGTGGGGCCAGATTCATGCCGGGCTTTAGCTAGGGTAAAGATTTAGGGTCTTGAGTGTAGACGGGCACCATTAAACAATTCTTAATTCTGCTAATGGGAGCTGGGAAGGGTTTAGAGTGCTTGTGATCAGTGCTGGATGGTACAATTCATTCCAGTACCAGATGGAAATGATTTTCGAATTATTTAATCTTCACTATTTTCCATACTGCAGTTCCCTTCCTTTGATGTAGAGACAGAAGAGAATGTTTGCTTTTATAGCTCCTGTTCCTTTGCCTCAACCCTTTTGTATTTAAGAGTGTTATATGTATATCTGAAAGTCCTGACACGAATGCCACAGGTTTGCTGTTCTACGTTGTAGAT